CTTCTGTCCACACTGACTCACTTTCCTGCCATTTTCTTAGGGTCCTATGGCTAGTCGATGAGTCTCCATGCTCAGGGCCCAACACAGCAGACAGCCCTCACCAGTGAGTGCTGGGATTTCCAGTTTACCCCTGGCCAACCTGCCCATGCTGTAAAAGGCTCTGGCTCCTGTGGTGACCTCTCTTGACACTGTCCCTGTGGCTCATGGTCTGCTGTGGGGAGGAGGAACAAGGATCCATGAAGGAAGTGCTGAGAGATTCGAACCTTTTGCAGCCTATAATCGCGGTTGGAAAATCTGCTGTGAGACTGCTCTGCAGACAGCCTCTAGCCCACCTTTGACAAGGAGTTCAAAGCTCCCAAGCATCTAAATGTGAAATAAAAAGACTGTGCCCAGCATCTTCTGTGTTAGGAGACCTGGTCCTCCTTGTGCCCAGCAGAGGGCACACTGGGGCTGTTTAGTGTGAAAAGATGGGACCTCCTTTCCTGCAGAGTATGTCACAACCACAATATTCCCCAAGGAGGAACAGGGTGCCTTCTATCACCTTTCCCAGTAGAGTCTTTACCCTACTGGAATGGAAATGGCTGGGTTCAGACCTATTCTCACCAGCTGGTAACTCACAGCAAGTCATTTTTGTGCCTCTGAAAAGACTGTGTTACAATGCACTTAAAATAAATAAAACACTGCACCCATCCCAATGCGTCATCGAGAATGGCGTAGTGTTTGCAATTGTTTGGTACTAAATGCCCCATGGTTGAGAAAGACCTATCGCCTCTTTTATTTTTGATAGACCATGAAGTCAGGGAGGAATACCACAGGTGTCCACAAGATGGCAAGACTTTCTCATGTCTTCTGATTACAGAGGCTTTAGAGTATTCGAAGTGGTCTGTCCTCTAGACTCACAGGGACTCAAAGAATTGAGGGCAGTCAGTACAGGATAGAATCACTGTCCTCAGCAGACCCCAAGGTCACACTAGTGACCCACAACCATCTCTGCCCACAGCATCAACTCCAGCTCTGGCTTCAGTGTCTCCAGAATGTCCACACTGGGGATTTTGTGCTGGCCTCCAGGGCCTAGCCATCTGTCTCCTAGAGTTCATAACCTGGCTTTAGCCAACCCACACAAGAGCACATGCAAACCCACACATAAATACATGCCTGCACATGCACAGAGTCCAGCTGCCCGGTGAACAAGGCTGTGGATTAGCCAAAAGGCAAACAGGGCTTCTCTTTGTCTTTGTTGTCATTGAGCTGGGTAGTTTTTGTTTCTATTTAATAATCTGAGCTAGGGGCCAGCAGCTGCCTTCTGAGGAACTAGAACAGGAAATATTCCAAGCTTACCCCCACGGAGCTGTAGTATCTCTACCCATGGGTGGAACCAGCTGGGGTCAGAGTGGGCAGGAACCTCCCCCATGCATATGTCCACACGCTCCACACCAAAGGTGGGATAGGTCCATTGTCAGCAAAGCCTGGAGGTGTCAGCTACCCCTCAATGCCTGACTGGATCATTTTCCTAGAACATGCCTCATTCACCTGTGTCCATGTCTCACCTCAAGGCATGGCACCTTGGCACACTGCCTTCTGGCCTCCACCCACATCCTTCCCCAAAGAACATGATCTTACATGCTAATGTGTGTGCAGAAGTTCTGACTCATGTGGCATGTGTGCACACCGCTCTGTGAACATGCCAGGAGGGCCCAGCTGTGCCTGTCACACAGGATGAGGGAGGTAAGCAATGAGCCTTTCTAGTCACTGGAGAGGAGGCATCACAGGGTGACATCTCTCCAACATGGATTACACTTTAATAACCTAGTATGCAGGGAGATGGTCCTGAAACTAGAAGCCTCAAGACAGCTGGAAAATGAGCAGGAGAACCCCTCAAGCCTTTGTCTGGGGCCGGCTAGAAGCAGGAGTTAAATGAAGGAGATGCTGAAGAAGGGAGAGGAGACCATGCTTGCCCTGTTCACCTGTCTTCTCTTTGTAGATTGGAAACAGAGGCAGGTGCTGGGCATCTCTGAGACACAGTAGAGCCCACCCTAGTGGCCTGAGTCACTTTTCTTCCCAGAAATGCTCATTGGCCCCATAGGAAACAATCCTCAGGCCAGTAGCCCTAGCTGGAGTTGGGAGGCCCAGCTTAATTTTTAGTAAAGAGATGGAGAAGAGAAATCCTTTCTTGCTTTTGGGGCAACCCACATCATAGAACCCCCTCAGCTAAGAAACCCGAAAGCAGTTTAAAGTCCCTTAGTACCCAGACCTCCTTCCCCTAAAGCAAAGGAAAAAAAGGGGTCCTGGCTATGACTTCAAGACCCAGGGCATGCTCTCAAGAGCATCAGAAGTCTCTGGCCCACACTCTGGCTGTTGAGGCCTGTGCGGCTCAGGCTGCTTGGCTTGGTATTTTCCAAACAACCTGGAGAAGCTATATCCTATGACCTTTAACTAGACCCAGCTCACCACAGTCATTTGCTGGGGTTTGCTGAAAGGTAAGCGAGTAGAGGATGGCTACCAGAGTGAACTAGCATGAATGCTAGGGGGGCAGGAGACAGCTGGGTATGAAGCCTGCTGCCTATGCAGACCAGCTTCAAGGGCATGGTCCCCACCCAGCAGCCCTCAATGAAACATTTCCACAAGGATGGCTTCATACCTTCACCCCAAAACACACAGGACTGTAGAGTGTCAGAATCCCCCAGGAAATGGGTAAACAGCACCCTCCCATTGCTCCTCTAACTCTGTGGGCTTCCATGGGTCTGTCCCTACTTGCTCCAGAGTATTCAGTAACTAAGGAGGCAGCAGCCCCTTAGAGAAGGGGAAGTTCAAGGAACAGTCCATCAGGGTCAGGATAGAGGCCAGTCTAAGGTCAGAATGACCAGTATATAGCTAAAGTCAGGATTACAGGGATGCCGGATTTGGAGGTCAGGCTCTGTATAGTGGGAGTTGGGAATGCAAAGAGGGAGACCAAAAACTTTGGGAGGAGAGACCTGCTTTTAAAAGGCTCATCAACCTGTGAATGCATGATAAATGACAGAGTGAGATGGCTCATTAGGAAGACAGGCTGGAAAGATACGGCCCAAGGCTGCAGACCTGCTTTCCAAACTGCCCTGGGACAGATATCCCAACCACTGCCCACCCACCTGATGGGAGCCCCATGCTAATGACAGGACAGAGCATTGTTTACTAGAGGAAAACTGGCTGTTTCTTATGTATGTGTTATGTGTGTGGTATATTCAAGTGGTGTGTGCAAGATTGCTTGTACACACACACACACACACACACACACACACACACACACACACACACACACACACACACACGGAGGCCACAGGTCCAAGTCAGGCATCTTCCTTTCATTTATATTTTGAGGTGTGGTCTCTCACTGACTCTAAAGCTCACCAGTTCAGCCAGACTGGGAGACTGGCAGCCAGAGAGGCCCAGGATCCTCCTGTCTCTCCCCACAACCCAGCACTGGAATTGCTGATTGTGTCACTACACCCAGCTTTTGACAACACTACTGGAGATCTGAACTCAAGTTGCAATGTTGAGCAGCAAGTTTTTTTCCCAGTGAGGCGTCTCCTGAAACCCCAAGACTTGCATGAGACCCAAAAAGGAGGAGTGGCAACATTAGGGAAAGGAAACACTTTGCTCTCTGGAGAATTCGGACACAGAAACCAAACCAGACCCAGTGAGAGTCAAAGACTGGGACAGGTGAGCAAAACCATGGTGAAGAAACCCAGAGAGGAAAGCAGTAAGCTCCAGAGATACAGTAAGACAGGTTTTGATGATGGGGAGAAGCCACACACACATGCTCACATGCTCACACACATGTACACACACACACACACACACACACACACACACACA